CTGGGTGGAGGGCCTGGTGACCTATCGCCGTTACATTGATGACCTATTTTTTATCTGGAAAGGAACTGAAGCCACACTCCATGCTTTTTTAAATCAGCTTAACCATAACGAGTGGGGCATCATTTTATCAACTAATTTTAATAAACATAATGTAACATTTTTGGATTTGGATATCTTCATAGAAAATAACCAAATCAAAACCAAAACCCACTTTAAGGATGTGGACGTTAATAGTTTTATTCACACTTCAAGCTGCCATTTCTCTCCCTGGCTTAACAGCATACCTAAATCTCAACTCATACGCATCAAAAGGAACTGCACAGATGAAATAACATTTACACAACAGGCAGACAAACTAATATCAGACCTATTGGAAAAAGGTTATGAGAAAAATAAACTAAGAGATACATTAGCACAGGTTTCGGAAATCCCACAAAGCACTTTATTAAAAGAAAAAAATAAAACGGCAAACGTGGACCAAAATAATCTACCTATTATATGCAATTATAGTTATAACAACAGAGCCCTTAAAAAAAAAATTTTTAATAAACACTGGCCCATTTTATTACAAGACGATACTCTTACACAAATTTTACCACCTAAACCTAAGGTAATTTTTAGAGGAGCCGCCAATTTGAATAAACTTTTAGTTAAGAATCATTTTAGGAAAACAAAAACTACTACTTTTTTAGATAAGGAGAAAGGCTTTTTTGGATGTGGCACTTGCTTAGCATGCAAAAGCACCAACAATAAAAAAAGACACATCACACAATTTCAGAACTTCAACAACAAGGAGGAATTTCAAATTAAGGACCTCATCACTTGCCACTCCAATAATATTATATACTTATTGGAATGCCCATGCGGCCTCAAATATGTAGGCCGCACCAAACGTAAGCTATATATTAGGATAGCAGAACACTCTAGGAATATCAAAAAAAAGTTCGAAGGACACAGTGTATCTCATCACTTTTCTATTGCACATAATAGTGACCCCACACTTTTGAAATTTATGGGCATACAGAGGGTAAGAGGAAATTGGCGAGGAGGAGATTTTTTGAAATTATTGGGACAGAACGAAATGAAATGGATATTCAACCTTGGGACATTAAGACCCCAAGGTTTGAATATAGATTTTGAACTTTGTCATTTCATATAAACATCTCCCACTATTCACCTAATGTCCAAATTTCCCTTTCATTCCCCCTTTTTTTTTTGAACAAGTACCACTTTATAATTTAAATCCCTTATTGATCTTTTAATGATCAAAGTTTAACACTAATCTCTTTATGAATACCATTCAATTATTATCAATAGAATATCACTCTATTACACTAAGCACTTTAATATTTCACCATATACCACTATGAGATAATATGCATATATATACTTATATGTTTTTCACTTATGATTTATATTAACATACTTTTCACTTTGCTATTTCAGTGAAAGTACCCTTAGTTAGTCCCCCCCCCTGGCCGGACCTGCACTGGATATGATTACAGTGCGGGTGATCGGCACCAGGGGGAGGGGCTCTATACCGGCACTTAGAAACGCCCTAATGGGCGGTATTAGAAGAAATGCTCACACCATTCCCTCCTCCCCGACCTGCACGCAAAGATCATGTGCGGCACGACCGGGGAGACAGGGAACGTCCGGGCGGAAGCGAAGTGACGGTCACGTGGGTTCGTGACGTCACTTCCGCCAACCACCCGGACGGATGCGGAGTACTTCCGCCAACCAACCACCACCCACCAATGAGATTATAACACCAAAAAAGGCGCCAGAAACCTGGGCCAATTAAAGGGACACATACGAATTCCATTATATGAGGAATATACAACCCCTATTATGATTGGAGGACAATGATTGAACACACCAAAGGGGAGGACCCCAGAAACATTTAAGATGGAAGATTCAGAGGATAACTACTACAGCTGACTGAGGAAGCTCCATAGAAGCAGTGAAACGCGTTTTGGCTATTTAAAAGAGGACTTTTAAAGAGGACTTTTTAACTATTGTTTTTATTGATTTTGATCTAAATAAAACCATTATTTTTTTACTACATTCCTCTTAAGTCCCTCTTTTGGAAACCTCAGGAGAATCTTCCCAGGGGTAGTGTCACCCCCACTTAAAGTGACACCAAGCGCACACACCTAGAGCCGGGACCCACAGGCTCAGGACCAGGTGAGCAAACCATTTTTCTGTACCAGATTGTGTTTTTATTAAGCACGTTTTACACATTGGTCTGCTCTCTTTATCATTTTGTTTTGGAGAATTATCCCACACTGAAGGAGGCGGGCGGTGCTACCCTTATAAGCACATCGGCTAATATACGGAGCCAGTGTTCTCATATACAGGCTCCTAGAAATGTGAGTGTTCAATTTACCCGATATAACTATTATTACTAAATTAACACCTTCCATACCGTCTACACTATATTGTATTCCTTTGTATCTTTTTAAACATGTACCTTACACTGCGCCATTGAATGGGATGCCATTTGGTAAGCTGTACTTGTATTAGGAGCGCTCCACTTATTGGGATAAGTTTGTTTATAGCTTAAACCACACCAATAACTTCAGCTGTCAGATAAAGCCACATTAATATTAATTTGTGTAGAAATATTTAAAATGTGATTCCTAGCAGACCTTTAACATCTGAATGCAAAGCCCTGTGCTACAGCCTTTAGACTAAGACTGTAATTACCATATATAATAATATATATTTTAAAAAATAATAATTTATTAAAATTTACATTTTATAACATTTGGTAATAATACAGCAGAAGAATGTAAAATAATGAAGACTGACAATAACCTTATAATGTGAATATTCCAAAGGTGAAATCTGTCATTTATAAATTGTAACTGTCCAGAAAAATAATCATACATCATGAAAGCCATCCCCATTCTTACTTAATATATGTTGCATGCTAAGGTACAAATCAATCAATGTACTATTGATTATTTTCTAATTATTAATAGAGCCTGGATATAAAAATATGGACTCATGGAGATACACAGCAGAATGTGAGTCTTATGAGGTCAGAGGCAAATCAAGACCCATTTCCAGTATGGTTGTATACATCTAATTGTAAATTGTTATTATTACTAGCAGTCAGTAGAGATTTACAGCGAGCTCCGTACCCATTTTTGCAGTGTACTGCTACTGTCATATGGCCTGCAGATATTGACCTTATTAGACTTGTGCACAGCAACAAGTTTCAGTTAGGCTATATCAGTTTTATCTGAAAAAAAAATGTTATAGGCAAATTGGTATTATCCATGTTGTGTTTTGGGTTGGCCAACGTTTGGCCATGCAATCTTTTAAAAAAAATATATATTTAAACAAACCAAAATGGTGCAAACATTAATCAACCAGTGTATTACAAAGTATAAATATTATGCATTATTTGGTTAACTGATTAAGTGAGAAAAATTAACCAATAGGAGGAAAAAAGAGGAAGACCAGTAAAAATCTATATTTATATATTTTTAATATTGTAATATTTGTTAAAGGCCCACTATAGTGCCAGGAAAACATACTCGTTTTCCTGACACTACAGTGCCCTGAGGATGCCCCACACTCAGGGTCCTACTCTCGTGGCGCTGAATATAATCCTCCCTCTTCTGACTCTCCTCCCTCTTCTGAAGTCACCGGATGAATGCGCATGCGCATTCAGCCAGTCTCATAGGAAAGCATTCTCAATGCTTTCCTATGGACGCTGGAGTCTTCTCACTGTGAAAATCACAGTGAGAAGCATGGAAGCGCCTCTAGCGGCTGTCAATGAGACAGCCACTAGAGGCTGGATTAACCCATAGGTAAACATAAACATAGCAGTTTCTATGAAACTGCTATGTTTACAGCAGAAAGGGTTAATCCTAGAGTGACCAGGCACCCAGACCTCTTCATTAAGATGAAGTGGTCTGGGTGCCTATAGTGGTCCTTTAAATGATATGTAAATATACATTTTTATTGCTCCTCCTTTGTTTCATTCTATTGATCACAACTAGTGACTCAAATGTTAGAAGTAAAAGGCATGCTTTCTAATTCATCACAAAAGCCCCCACACCTGAAATGTTATCAGTCTTAGAAGGATAGAGAGCAAAATGTTGCTGAGTCTTCTGGCATGAGGACCAGCCTGAAAGAGGTGAGGTTTGCTCGAGAGTAGAAGAAGACCTTGGTTGAGGCTTATTTTGTGAGGATTACATAGCTGGAGAACTATAATTTCAAAGCCAGTGGACACTCATCTATGTGAGGAAATTGTATGTAATCAGTGTTTTGATATGATACACTCAATCCAGAGTATCAAACATAGATTATATGACTGCAGGAGGAAGGTGAAGCAGAAGCTAGGCCAGGAGACACTACATGTCAGAGAAACAGGTGTAGGGTAAGTCTGTGCAATATAGCAATAAGACATAAACATAAGAAAGATATGGAGGATTATTTTAAAAAAATGCTTTTTAACTGTGACTGGTAAATCATTTGCTAATGATCTGTTATGAATTGTCTAAAAGAAACTAAAGAGAAAACTAAAGAAAAATAAGAACTGGAAGAATTAGAAGATGTTGAACCTGGTGGCGTTTAAACATGTTTAAAGGGGAATTAAAGTCCACAAAATAATATTAATTATTTTGGGGACTAGTAATTTTCTTGCCATAATACTAACTTCTGTCCAACCCTTTTCTTTATAATATACAAAAAATAGTGCAAAAGAAAGGGCGCTAGATGACATGCAGCTAAAAACACTGTGGAACCAATCACTAAAAATTCCACCAAAGATAAAAGTATACAACAAGAAATAGTGTTCAGTGCAAAGTATGTAAGAACAATGTATAATAATCTAGATCCCAGGGTTCACTCTACCCAATGTGTACAAAAGTGAGTGGAAATATACCTAAGGATGAATATAATAACACTGCTTCTTTCTGAAAAGATAAAGAAAGGAATAAAGTAATATAGTAAAAATATAAAGCTAATATTCATTTTCTTACCTTGTTTTCTGAGCTGAGACACCATCGTTGCAGTCTGACGCTCTGCTGCCTTTTTCATCAGCTAGCATGCTGATGTCTTCCGACTTCTCACAAAATCCAATGTTTCTCACAAAGAAGCACAGGTGCAGCACATGCAGTGCTCCTCCAATCAAATGCATTGAATCTACTGCATGGACATGGGGACTAGTTACTGGTGTCATAGTCTTTTCTTCTGCATCTATATAGTGACCTTCCTTTTGGACACCAGAGCCATTAATATAAAGCTTACTACCATTCATGTTGTCTGTATTCCAGATTATAAAACGTGTAATTTGTTGTTATGCTAGGGAGAGATGCACCATTAAGTGTATATTGTGTTCAGGGCTGCCATCGTGGGATGCAGCTAATACTGTATAGATCCAGGTTGCACACAGACACTGGTGGCATGTATAGTGAAGAGGGTGCTCAGGAGACTCCAAATTCTTTCTGGCAGTGTCCTCTTGTGAGTCCTGGCTGTCAGAGTATTGCTGCGGTTTACCATGGTAATGCTCTTATGTGGCATGCATACCAGGCTCAGGAGAGAACCTGGCAAATGCCAGAGGGGAAATATGAAGATTCCTGGGTGGCAGACTTTAGTATACAAGCTACTGAGCCTGCAGACCACCAGTTAATCTAGTGTGTCCCCTCCCTGGCCACAGATAGAAAGCAAGGAGGGCAGAATAATCTTAAATATAAATATAAATTTATAAAATCACCCCCCACAGTTCCTATCCATCCCCACACACACACTGCATCCACCACACACAGCATTCACTATATACACACACTGTATCCCCTGTATACACACAGCACATCCTCTACACACACTGCATCTACTATATATAAACACTGCATGTGCTACACACACTACATACACTCTGCATCCACTTTATACACTTTACTCGTCCTTGTGGATTTAGCAGTTAGTCCTGTGGGTGGACCTGGGGAGAACCCTGGAGGGTCCAGACTTTTATCTGTGAAAGGGACCCAGCATTTCTTAGCAGGTGGTTTTGCAAAAAACACAGTCAGAATCTGAGTACTTTGTGTGTCTAAGAAAATAATGATTATATGTTTTGTTTTTGTTTTTCATTTAATTATGCACAGATAGCTCAATTTCTAATGGATGGAAATTATTTTTTTGCTGATTCTTATTAGACAATAAAATAATATGTACTAAATCACTTAACAATTTTATATAGTGGGGTTAGCTTATAAAAGTAATTGATAGACAAAAGTAATATTGATGGGTACAGCAGGTGAAAAAGGCTGACAAATATGAAACATAATATGCTCATTGTATTACAGTAAAGTGGACAAAATAAGATAACAATGTGTCCAATTAGACTGGCTGCTAAAAGTGCTAGAATCTTGGCAGTAATGTTGCAGTGTGTGCAGTCTCCTGTTTTCATAGATTTCAGGTTTTTATAAAAATAAGATAAAAAATCTTTAAATTAGGCTAACTGCTATCACCACTAGACGTATAAGCGTTGTGTTGAAATGAGTGATATCTACAGAAACTAGGAGCAACATATAAAGCAACACCACACTCTCTTTACATTGCACTTCCCTTTTATTTCCTATTCCCACATACCTGCCGCTGCCTGAGAGCATTGACTTTGCAGCCAGTTGCATGAAAGGTGGAATGAAAGATGCGAAGTGTCTCTCTTGCACCCTAAAGAAAACATTACCACTACTTGGCTATTGACTCCATCCATTATGCATTTGTAATCGAGAATCATATGTGGCTTTTCCACAGCTCTGCCTGTCTCTCTGTGTCTCATTACCAGGGAAAACAAAGCTGCCATCATGTATTGTTGACAGCATGCTGACAACTCACTCGTCTCTCCATTTCAGTACTGTGAGTTTTCCACACCGCATAGCTAGCTTTTCACCATTTCCTAGTTTACAGTCACATAAGGATTGTGGTTTACCTATCTTTCCCAATCCTACTGTACGGTATGCATCCGTTTTTTTTTTTGTTTTTTTCAAAGAGCTGAAGAAACAGGGAAGGAGGGGAGTAAAAATGATCTGTTACTACATGGTACTCCAGGTTTAGAAAGTCTTGCAAAGAATCAAAACAGAAGAACTAACACTGACAGATGTTGCAGTAGCTTTTCCAGTATACACTAGTATCGCAAATACCCTGCTTGACTGGTACAAAGCTGAAGGTTTTGATCCCAAATTGAGATCTTTTGGGGGGAATAAATTGTTCTCATTCTAAACTTTACTTCAAAAGGAAAACACTATCATCAAGAGCAAATGATAAGATGTAAAAAAAAGGATTTATGTAAAGGTTGTTTCAAAGACTTATGCCACCCACATGCATAAATCCATTTTCATTAACCCCAGCTGTTCATCCAACATGTACAATAGGATTGTATATATAAGGGTCGTATACGTTTTGTGTGAGATGGAGTGCAGGACTTGACCAATATACTGTGCTGCCTGGATCCAAGACCAAGATGCTGACACATCCACCAAAACTCAACCACCACCTACAGACACATCCACACCAATAGTGGCTGGTGAAGTTTTAGGATGGTGGTGCACCAGACTCCTCCCCCAGAACTTTACTCCTCTCTACACAGTAAAGAGATGCTCATACAATAAAACAAGCTGGACACATCATATATTCATACATCAAATATATTTATAAAATACATAGATAATACAGATAACTATACCACAATCAGAGATGAGATAAAATAGAGATATAATACATGGGCAGACTACAGAAATACATCAGGTATAACTTAATAGAATACAGAGAAATACACATAGCTGGGCACAATAAGGAGATACTATTAACTATCCCACACAGCCAGGATCACTGTGATGATTACACAAAGCTTCAATACACAGATACAAACACATTACATGTCTCTGTAAAATGTTTTAGCTCTTTCTCTCTCTCTATCTATCTATCTATCTTTATAGTCCTATCTTAGCTCTCCATTACATGATCTCTTAGTGCTCTTGCTGCCTTTAGCTATCTATTAAATATTGCTTCTGATATGAAACATGTCAGCTACTCTATCAGCTCTCAGCACACAGCATGCACATGATTAAAACATCAAGATACTGATAGCCTCCAATAATTTTAGCTTCTCCACACGCCATTTATTAGCTCTCACACACAGTGTACACAGGGTTAAAGCAGCAGGCTACTGATAGACTCTCTATTACCTCTGCAACTGGCAATATAATTAATATGTAGTGGTAATATATAGCCAAGAAGTAGATGACACAGTTAACAGAATCAACAATTATTACAGATTAAAAATGATTGAAATCAGATTAGATCAGTCTTCAGAGTCACAGTCCTGGGCTTCATTAACTAACATCCCAGTTTTTAGTGAACCTACACTTTCTTTTTTTTTTTTTTTTATGTACTTTAAAATTGCTTTGGGGTTGGTTTTGCTCTCTTTAGCTATCACTTTCTTATTTTGTAGTTTAGCAAATCTCTTTACCTTTTTTGCACACATTATTGGCTTCCTCATATCTTTTATAGGATGACTCTGATTTGTCCGATTTAAACGCTTTAAATGCCGTTTTCTTATTTTAAATTTCTTGATTAACTTTCCCATGAAACCACATTTGTTTAAATTTGTTTCTTTTAAATGAATTACCCAGTGGTACATATTGAGAAACATACCTTTCTAATTTTTGTTTTGAAGATATTCAATTTATCCTCAGTGTTTTTTTCACACTGAGAGTTTTTTTCAAAGAGTTTATGCCAGTCAATATATTTTAAAGCTGCCCTTAACATATTGAAATGGGCCTTTTTAAAATTATATGTTTCATTATATCCCATGTGCTTTTGTTTTTTTGAGTTTGCTTCAAAGGACACTATATTGTGATCACTATTTCCAAAGTGCTCACCCACTTGAATGTTGGTGGAAAGATCAACATTGTTTGTTCTAATCAGGTCCAGACAAGCGTCCTTCCCAGTTGGTACTCGTACAAGTTGTGAAATGAAGGTGTCATTTAACAAGTTCAAAAAACGAATTCCCTTTGCTCAACTACTAGTCCCTCAAATATATCATTATTACATATTTAGTAAATTCCCTTGCTTAAAGAAACACTATAGTGGCAGGAATACAAATATGTTTTCCAGATAATTTAGTATTAAAGTGACCATTTAGGTGACCATCACTACTCCAATATCAGTAAAAAAAAAGGTGCTATAGACACCAGCATTTTTTTCTGTCCCCAGCCACTCTGTGTGTGTCATTGTCCCCTTCCCCAGTCCCTTTTTGTGTATCTTTCACCTCCAGCTGCTTTGTGTGCCTCTTTGTCCCTCCTCTGCATGTATCTTTGTCTCCCTAACCCCTTTGTGTCTCTCTTTGACACCCCTCTGTGTACCTCTTTATTCCCCCCAGACCGTATGTGTGCCTCTTTGTCCATCTGTCGCCATCATGTCCCTTTGTGGTCTCTCCCCCTTGCACTCATGCTCATCTCCCTCCATGTAGTGTTTCCAAGCACACTGCGATGAAGGATTTCCTATAGCTTCTGTCCAGGCTGAGAAGATACTGTTTGGTGCTCTCAGTGAACACTTTATGTCAAACCAGGAGAAGGATACAGAAAATGCTCTACTCGGCCATGCTACATGGAGGGAGGTGAATACAGATTTTTAAATAAGATCTTAACACTTTTTGGGTAAATCAGATTAATAATGATATTCTAGTTAAAAGCATACCATAGGCATCAAAACAACTTTGGCTTAATGAAGCAGTTCAAGTGTGTAGATCACGTCTCACTGCTCAGTTCTCTGACATTTAGGAGTTAAATCACGTTTGTTTCTGTTTATGCAGCCACACCATCTCTAGTTGTGACTGACACAGCTCGTATGACAAAATGGTTTCATTTATATTCAGTCGTTAACTTGCTTTATAAGTTTTTATCTCCTGCTCTGTAAATTGAACTAATCACACACAGGATACTCCTACAGGTTCTAGAAGGTGTTTAACAGAGCAGGGAATAAGAAAAATTCTAGATTAAACAGACTGTGCAATAATGGAACCTAAACTGTATAGGTTCCTTTTCAAGGAGTGTTTAGGAAGGCTTTGCAAATTACATGAAGGGAGGTGTGACTAGGGCTGTATAAATAAAATTATTTTACTCCTAAAAGTCAGAGATTTAAGCATGAGACATCAGGGCATAATCTATACACAAAAATTGCTTTATGAAGCTAAAGTTGTTTTAGTGCCTATACTATTCTTTTAATATATATAGTAACAGCGTGTTGATTCAAGGAGGT